CTCTCTCCCCTCCTCCCAATGCCTTAAAATATCTTAACTTTCAGATACTTTAAATATTGGTTTGAAAATTGGCTTTTTGGTTGGTATCAGCATGGCAGCAGGACTGAGGTGCGTAAACTTGAGCTCGGTCTGTCCTTCACATGGACCTGGACTGATGCCACCGTGCCATTTCAGTGTGTCAAGGGGACCCACAGGACAGGTCAGGGAGTGTTTCTCCAGTTCAGCCGTGACTACACTGAGGCTTTCCTGGTACCAGTTACAGTGGGGTACAGGGCGTGCGGAGACCCACGGAGGAAACATGAAGTCTACTGTGAATACTGCTTAGTATTCTAGTGCTGGCGGCAGTGCGGAACAGCTCACTTATGCTTTGCGAGCACGTGATATTCATCTCTGTCTTGGGACAATAGATAATAGGATGCTCAGACTCACTCATTATATCTATCCATATGATTTATCACAACAATATACCAGTTTTTTTCCTATAAGATGGAAAAAAAAATAAAAAAATTTTCATCATGTCTAGTTCCCGGGGAAGGTATGGGAAAAATAAGAACTCCAAGGCTGACAGGAGTATAAGTCCGTGTTATTGTGGTTGGTGGCAATTTAACAGCACCAAAATAAAAAATGCAAATGCTGAAAGAAGCAAAATGCAGAGAAATTTTTAAAATGCACATATATCCAAACAAGAACCTATCAATAGTGCTTACTGTATATCCTATGATTAATTTTGGGTAAGAATTAATTAATTTTAAAGAATATAAAAATGCAAGTGGGTATACGCATACATTTTTATTTTCTGTAAGAATTAAAAACTATTTAAGAGTAGATAGATACCTTTGGAGAGGATGACTAGGGGCTGGGGAGGGAAGTCTTTGGTTTTCATTTTATTCTTTTCTGTGCTATATAAAAATATATTCTTAAAAAAATTTGTTACCGGGAGTGAAACTATGGATTATTTTTCTTTATATTTTTCTGAATAAAAAAGCCATAATAAATATTACTTTTTAAAAAGACAATTGCTTGACAATTGGTTTCTCACTCTTCACTAAAGAATATGAGGTTAACAGTAAATGCAAAATCAATAGCTCGTGCATTGTTGTACAATTCCATTTTTTTGTACCTTTTTAAGAATAATCTTACAAAAATGACCCTTTAAGGTAGAGGTCAGCACACTTTCTGTAACGGGCCAGCTGGTATTACCCCTGGCTTTGGAGATAAGCTCTATTGTAACTACTTGCCTCTGCTGCTGGAGTATGAAAGCAGACACTCTATCAGCAACTGGGTGTGGTTGTGTTCCAGTAAAACTATTTACAAAAACAGGCTGTGGACTAGATTTGGTCTCCAGGCTGTAGTTTGTCAAGCTTTGCTTTAAACTATGGTTGTTTGAATTAAAATAACTGTGATGTCACCACACCCCTCGACCCCTGCTAAGCCCTGGACCCATGGGAAGATACCTAACAGAGAACAACAGTTCAGTGGTTCTCATTCTTTTTGGTGGCAGCATACCTTTAGTCATGTAAAAATTAATGAGCACATCAAACAGTTTTGTTTGGGTGGATAACATCTATTGACATTTATCATATTACAAATTAAAACTGAGAAATTTATAAATATGTATCAATTCATTAAAATATAATAATAAACTCATTAGGTTGACAAGAATAACTTTTTAATGAAAATAACTTTATAGAACAAAAAAAGAAGAATGGTGTTGTCTTACATTTTGCTGCAAATCCCTTTAATGTCTAACTTAAAAGAAGATATGTAGATTTTCATATCTGCTCTGCATTCAATTGTTGTGATATGTTGTTTTGGTTGAGATATTAAAAAAAAAAATCTAGCCTCACATGGGTATAAAATTGAAAAACAGAAGTGTTTTAATAGACTTTTCTGATGTGAATAGACGTTTTGATGCTACACTCACACGGGACAAATGGTAATTTCTTAAAGGTTAGTTGCAATGTGGAATCTGAAACCATGATATGGCTCATTGCTAAGCTCTTCCAAAACTCTGATATATTAAATTCCATTGGTCTAGCTTGAACTTTGCCTCTATTTTTTCCCATCCATGATTTTGAGCATTCACATTGGTCACTGGAGAAATATTGGACCACGGAGTTATGCAGATGTTCTTCAATATTGACACATTTTATCATAATCTCAAAAAAACATTTGTTAATATCATCACTGATCTCATCAGATAAATGTTTATATATTAATATTTAGAAACTGTTAAGGTCACGGAGACAGATACAAGTTTTCCAAAATTCTTGTTCTCACTTGAAAGCTCCAATTTTATCACTGGCAGTAAATGCCATCTACTTGTTTCTCTTGCAGTGACAGGCTCATTTCATTCATTCTCATGAAAATGTCTGCCAAATACCCAAGTCTGAAAAACCACAGCTTGTTTGACAATCAGTGGTCTGTCAAATAAAACCATGAAAAAAAGTGGCTAGTTCAGCTCACAACCCAAACTATTCAGAGTGCTTTTCATGAAACTGCCATGAAACCTCAATATGCAGCAAAGGGGCTTGTTATCGGTATTTCCCAATTTATCACAGAGAATATTAAAAAGAAGCATATTCAAGGGTCAAAATTTAGTAGAATGGAAATTAATAATTTAACTGATTCATCAAGCTTATTTTTAAGAGAAAATGGCTTTTTCTGCAAGTGCCTGGCAGTGACGAGTACACATTGTCAGTGTATTTGGGTGTCACTGCCCTAATCACAGCTAATGCCCTGGCACTGCTGCCCAAAACAACTTTTGCACCAACAGTGTAAATGTCACAACAGAAAAACAAAAAATATTTTAATATTATTATGAAAATAGTTCTCACCTCATGGACCTCTTTGAAAGGATCACAAGGAAGCCCCCAGTGTACTCAGACCACACGCTGAGAACTGCTGATACCATTTAATGTATTTATACTCTTGCAAAATCAATGGTTAATTGATTGTACCTATTGTATCAATGTGAGTCTTTTCTTTTTTGACTCATCTTTTTCCTTTATTAGGAGCATGCCCTAGGAGAATTTGGATTAAAATGTATAAGACATTCGATTAAAGGTTTCTCTATTATTGAAAAGGAAAAAATGCTTTCAAGAAAAAATGGTAGTTCTTACAGGAAGGTAAGGTGCCAGGGCTCCACAGGATTCAGCCACAAGTAGTCGTCTCTCGGGGTATTTGTGATTGATCTAGAGAAAAACAGAAAGCAAGCATCAGCAACACGCCCTCCCTTCCCCCAGCAGAGCACTGTCTTTCACACGTCCTGGTAAGAGTGCAATGAAATGTTCTTTTCCACTTCTTGGAATCCCTGCGTATACCTGGATCAGAAATAAAGGAGTCAGGGACAGCCTAAAAATGAAGTCACAGGGTTACCTGTTAAAGGGAAAAGGACAAAGCCAAGGTGAGAACTGGGCAACGTTGTGGGCTTGCTAAGGCAGCTTTCCTTAGGGTGCCAGGAGCAACTTTCCCCTGCCCTGGCAACATCAGTATATTTTTAAATTTGCAAACCCCAGCTTTCTTTCTTTTTTTTTTTGGTTTTTATTGGGGAATTGGGGGATAGGAACAGCGCTGGGGAACTGGGGGAAGGGGAACAGACAAGTTGCTGCCCTTTTGTTCTTCAGTCTAGTTGTGGAGGACGTTGCTTCACTGGCCCAANTCACTTCGAGGGGTAAAAAGTATAACTATTGCACTGTGATGTACAGCTGAAACTAATTCTAAAAATTGTGTATTTCACAATAAAAAATAATTAAAAAAAAAAAGAATGAATCATATATTTTATATATAAAGTATCTACCTTAATGGCATATAACAGGCTTTAAAGAAATGTTAGTTTTTCTTCTGCACTCTAAAAGAGACTTTGGGAAAAAATTAGATCAAGAAGTTTCTATTGTTTCTTCAACTTTTCTTCAATTCTTTTACTTGGAAAGAATTAAATGTTCATTTTAAAAAGTGAGGAAATGAACTACTGCAGTGAAATAAATACAGTTAAAGCATTTTAACATTGTGTAAATAAAGTTCTGGATACACATATTTTAGTTATCTCCGTACTCTAGGCAGTAGAGCTGATCCTCACCTAAAATATTTAAGTCAGAAAAGGCAAGGAAGAGCTAGCTTTCTGAATAATGTATGAATAATAGCCCCACAAAGGTGCTACTTCAGCTAATAAACTCAGATCATGCCCTTTAGTCCTTCAACTTCAGCAAAGTACAACTTCCTCAAATCTCTCTTGGCTTCAGCCCAATAGAATCTTTAACTGGTAATTTATTAGAATGTTTAGCCAAGGTACATTCTGTCTTTGCTCCCCAGCATTCTTTTAAGGTACCCTGGAACACACCTTTTAAAATTCTATGAACTATATAAACAAAGGAAGCATTTACCCTGAGAAGTTTTTCAATTTTGTTCAGCAATGTAGGTATAAGATGAGACTGTAAATTTCCAAGTTCTGTAGTCCAGGCAGCATAAGCTGGTAAAAATACTTGATGCGTTGCACTAACTACTCTTTCTGAGGGATCACCCAAGGATGACAGCAACAATTCAAAACCCTGCCAAGAAAAGAAAATAAGAACAAAAACAAAAAACAGACAAAATATAGATTTTTTTAAAAATAAACAAAAAAACTCAATAAAAATAAATACACATTGAAGTACATTTAGAAAACATTTTAGGCAAGAAAGAAAGCCATCCATTGATGAAGAAAAGGGTGGTAAACACACATGCTTGCTGCCAATTTCCTGCCACAAAGCTGTGGCAAATACTGTAAATGAATCATAGCATTCTCTCCTCTGAATTGCGGAATTGAAACCAGGCAGCCAAACCAACTGGTTAACGTTGACATAACTGCCATCTCTACTACAGATTGTAGGGTATGTGAATCAGAGATTTGGAATATTATTTGGAATTTTAAAAGAGTAAATGGGGTTGATTCTGAAAAACATACCTGTTGATATTTGTCTGGATCATCAATGTATCCCATAATGATACCCAGGCTTTTGATCACAGCTTCTCTTACCAAATCCGCCTTATCTTCCATTAGCATCTGTTGCAACATTGAAAGAACCAAGGAGCTACGAATTTCTTTCTGAAAATAAACAAGAACAGGCTGTTGCTATTTATTTATACTAGCAGCAGAAAAATATAAAAAATAACATGACAAACATCCACGTATTTAAAATCCAAATTAAATATACGCGTACATTAACATTTTGCAATGTTTGTTTCAAGTGTTCGTTTTTCAAAGACATAGAACATAACGGATACAGTTAAAAAGTATCAGTCTCTTCCACCCTCTCCTTTCCTTTTCCCTTTCTTTCTAAAGATAATGTCTTCCCTGAGTTCGGTATGAATCATCTCCCAGCATGTTTTTATATCTTTGCTAAATACATATGTACAAACCCTTACAGTGCATAGTAGCAGGCACTTTTGGCAAATCAACAGTCCACATTCTTGCTATAAACGGACAGTGACTTTTCTACCACTACTTGTTCTACTCAGAGAAAAGCGCTGAGGGAGATAATAACAGGAGAGGTTACAGAATCACTCTGGTAATCAAAACATTTGCCTGGGGTAGGAGCGTGGAAACATCATAAAATCCTGGTGTTCCTATTTTTTCAAGAAGTGAGAAAAAAAAATTCAAACAGGTAAAATATGAGAGTAAACTTTCCAAGTTCTTTAACAAGAACTGCATTGCTATTTTAAGATGCCACTATTAAATATAATGTCAAGGCAACAATAATTCTGTGTCTTAATTTCACACAATTTCTTCCACAAAGAATGTTAGAGAATATTTTGGCCTAACTCATGGCTGATGTTAGAATCAGGAATTATCATTATACAAATTCTTGCCCTTCTTTTCTTTCTCTGTGCCATTATTGTAACTTGATTAATTTATAAAATTCTTTAAACCTAAACTTGTTTAAATCCTTTTTTACATATAATGGTTAGAATAAAATAAAGATAGAGGATGTGACCATTTTCATAAATTTACAGTGTGATTTGAAATGCAGAGCAAGGTCTGACAGACATTTTTAAATGATCTAGTTTTTGTTTTGACTTTTTAGAAACAAAAATATATGTAATTTAAGCACATATTAGTCACATGGAGGTTGGTGAATATGCCTTTCGGTATAGCCTTGTTTGGTTATCCTTTAGGCTAACAATTGCCTTACTACTCTCTCCCCTCCTCCCAATGCCTTAAAATATCTTAACTTTCAGATACTTTAAATATTGGTTTGAAAATTGGCTTTTTGGTTGGTATCAGCATGGCAGCAGGACTGAGGTGCGTAAACTTGAGCTCGGTCTGTCCTTCACATGGACCTGGACTGATGCCACCGTGCCATTTCAGTGTGTCAAGGGGACCCACAGGACAGGTCAGGGAGTGTTTCTCCAGTTCAGCCGTGACTACACTGAGGCTTTCCTGGTACCAGTTACAGTGGGGTACAGGGCGTGCGGAGACCCACGGAGGAAACATGAAGTCTACTGTGAATACTGCTTAGTATTCTAGTGCTGGCGGCAGTGCGGAACAGCTCACTTATGCTTTGCGAGCACGTGATATTCATCTCTGTCTTGGGACAATAGATAATAGGATGCTCAGACTCACTCATTATATCTATCCATATGATTTATCACAACAATATACCAGTTTTTTTCCTATAAGATGGAAAAAAAAATAAAAAAATTTTCATCATG